AAAGGAGCGGAGAGAGAACCGAACCCTGCGGCACCCCACAGAGGAGGGGCCAAGGATGGGACCTCTCGCTCCCTATCACTGCTGACTGGGACCGGCCCCGAAGAAAGGGGGTGAACCAGCACAAGACTCTGCCACCCACCCCCAAATCCCTGAGCTGTCCCAATAGGATACCGTGGTCGATATCATCGTCATGTAAATGGAAAGTCCATTTTTTTGCTTTTTTTTTTGCCCCAATTTTAGGAAACCTTTTTAAAACTGTTTTATATTCAGTAAGCCTATCCATTCTTAGCAGTCTTTATTTCATTAGTTCCTTACTAAAAATCAGTAGAAATTCATACTACTGAATTTTAGCAGCAAAGTCCTGGGAGGCCCTGGGAACTACAGAAAATATGATTTGGGGACCACCAATAGCTAATCGAGAAATTTCTAATGAGGAAAATCCTTACCGGCTCATTTCAAGCATATTGGGGTGACACTCTTGCTTGGCTCAAGAAGAATCCTTTTGGAATTTAGAGGACTGCTGTAACCCAAAAGAGAACTAACACTAAATTTGTTTCTGCACAGGCTGGTTTTTGATGAAGGATCTGATTCACCTGATACAGATGATGGGGGCAAAGAGGAAGATGAGGATGAAGATGAGTATGTTCCAGAGTGGCAAGAGGAGTATGATGATGAAGATCTTGATGATGATGATATTTCCTATGATGATGAATCAGAGAATCTAGAGAGAGATTCCTTTTTTTTTGGAGATGAAGATGAACCATATGATTAGGGTTCGGCTCCAGACTCCCCAAATTCACCAACAAATTCTGGAGAAGAGGAACCTTCAGGCAACTTTGTCCCTACTGCATTCTGCTTCTATCATTGTCAAAAATAGCAGGGAAAGGATTTCAGTCAAGTGGGAGTCAATTATACAATCATTTACAATGAAGGGCACTTTCTCTTTGAGATAGATACCTTGTGGCTGTTCGTAAAATTCACTGTGCCTGATTACATATGAAGTTCATTAGCCAAACAAACAAAAAAAATTGGGGGGCAGTGAGGCTGCAGGACTGCAAGCTTTTTTAGGGAATAAGACTAGGCTCCAGTCTAGGAAAAAGTCTGACCATTGCCTCAACTCCAATGCAAGCTTCAATTTTAAGAGAGCACTGGATGTCATCAGTTTATGTGAGAGTTTGCACATCATCCTTTCCCATATTTCCTGTACCTTATTGCCCATTGGTTACTATTATGCAGAAGTTTTATTTGACAAATGTATTTGAGATTATTATTTTGCCCAGCATTAACTTAAAATTCTAGAACATAATAGCAATACAGCCTTATTTATGAGTGCCAGTTCAGTCAGATTTGTTCTCCAATAGTGATTCATACAGTAAATACATGGAAGCGCTAACGTGTGTGTATGTACACACACATGCAATGTCTCTAAGAGGCCTCTTGTCTGCCAGAGCAATTCTCATTTCCATTCTAGCACAGGCCCAAAACTATGAACAGAGATTTTAATTTCATTTCAATATAAATTGTTCTGTAAGATTCAGTGCACAGGGACAATGGTACTCTCTAATTAGTGAAAAGGCAACTTAGGTCATTGAATGTGCCTGAATCACTTGAATTGCATCTCAGCATTTGTGCTAAGATTGTGTGTGTGTGTTTGTGGGCATGCGTGCATTTGCACGCTTGCATAGAATGCTTGCCTATGAACATTGGTAAAGCTTTTTTTTTTTTTAGTCCCAAATTCAGTTAAAATGCCCTGCTCTGGCCCTGCTGGATAAATCTGTAGGTTGCCAATGTTCTGAACTGAAATGGTTTTGTATTTTGTATGGAACTCTTTCACGAAGAGATCTTTTCTTTAGTGTTCCTTTGCCATTTGGAATGCATTCTGCAGATGGGAATTTCGCAGGATGTAGAGGTTTAGAGGGTTCATATATATAATATAAATACATATATAAATATATATATGTGTGTGCGTGTGTGTGTGTGCGTGCGTATGCAGGAGCTAAAATTGTTCAGAGTATTATGCTTTATCTTTTCTTGAAAATGAAAACCCAGAAATATACAACTTCTGTTTATGAAATAAACTGGTTTTCTTCTGTTGCTCTTTTTATATGCTTTTCTTCGATTCTGCTTTCCACACTTTTGCTATCCTTGTTTCTTAGGGCCAAATAATGTTAAATGAGGATGGGAAGGTTGTTGCTGGGAGAAGCCCCATATAATCGTGGGAGTATCTAGTTAAAGGAAATATTTGCCATGATACCATTTTCTCAGTTTCTCCAGCCCAGCCCAGCCCAGCCCAATTCTAATACTTTATGGTTTACAGAGAACAGGAGAACTTGTGTGTGCAATGTCACAATATCCATCTTTATATTCTAGATTAGAGCAAGTATGGGGTGTAATGGTATGTGGGAATGACCTTGTGACACAGGAGGAAGAGCTGCAGACTAGGCAACTATCATGTAAAAGTCCACAAAAGCAGAGGGAATGTGGGAAGTGTTTCACAAGGGACCCTCCCTAGTTTTCTGGAGAGTAAAAGGAAATGAGAGGAGGAATACTTTCAGATTTGCAAAATTCTGTTAATGTAACCTTACAATAAAGATAGAGCTAGTATTTATTGTCGTACTTCTTGTCTGGACTATCTCTAAGGGCTAACATGGGTTACACATAATATCTAATTTGACCCAAAATAATTTTTTAAGAAAAAGAAAAATAGCATAGTCTCCAAAGTGGAAACAGTTGTGCAATAGTGGATGTCTATCAGTTATAAATTATGAATACATACAGTCAGGTCCAGAAATATTGGGACATCGACACAATTCTAACATCTTTGGCTCTATACACCACCACAAT